TTCTAAATTTTCTAAAAAAGAGCAAAAACACTTAATAGCATCACAGAAATTTCATGGTAGTAATAACCAATTTTATTGAAATTAGTATAACTTTTTTGTTGCATTAGTATAACTTTTTTGTTGCATAAAAAAATAATTAGACCTCATCCTTACCTCTATCTTCCTTTTAAAAAATAGAAGATATGCTCAATAAAAACTGCTAGGAAAAAATAAAGCCAAAAGAAAAACTAAAACAAACAAAATGTAAACGATTTAAAAAATTAAAAGGAGTGATCCTTTTTATTTTATTTTTAATAAAAAATATTATATATAAATTGCGAAACTATTTTCAATGCTTATATGATCTTAACGATGATTATTATAATATGATCTTAACGATGATTATTTATCTTAATATGATTCTTTATGTAATATTTCTAAACTAATCTTAATATTAATTCAATTCTAAAGGTAAAAAGTTTTAACTCCCTCTAATAACCGCGTGCATTTTGAGAACGCGCTGTTTCAAGTTCAGAAAAGCCTAGTAACTAATTAAAACTGATTTAAAAACGAAAGCGAAACGACATTGAACATTGAACATAAAACATTGAACATTGAATTTTTACAGTATTCATATTTAGAGATGAACAACTCAACTGTAATCCACTTTGACATTACAAAATCTTGTTAAAAAGTCTAGTGTATTTATGCTATAATTAGTATTTATTTCACAAGTTTAAAATATCTTTCTTTTATTTGGATTAAAGTATTTTTCTTTTGTTCTATATATACTCTATTCTTACACATCTTTCTCCATAAATGTCATTCATACTCTTGTATTTTGGTTTTCACAAAAATTCCTCTAAGTTGCAGTATTTAAATAAGTAAATATTTTTTCATGTATTTTGTTGTAAATATGGCATATAAATTTAATTGGCTGCATGCTGATATTCATTTTTATTGCCGGTCTGATAAAAGAAGTTTGGCATGAAGAAGCTGTTTTCATTTCCTTGGAGATTCTATGGAGTTGCCTCAGCGAAAGATGTTGAGGCGTCCTACATAGATATTGCGTTTCATAACAATTCTAAACCTTTCTATATTATGGAAGTATTCTGAAAAGAAAACGTGGTTGCAAAAATGCAGTTTGCACATAATACATAATTATATGGAGCAAAAATCTCATAATGACAGTAAAAATTTAATATGAGATTTTTACTTGGAAATAAAAAAAAACGTGGAAAAAAATTTCATAAGAGTCCAAGTTCAAAACGAGCTCAGGATATATTTTCGCGTTACAGTAAAGAAGGAGGTGTGAACTTTCTGTTATAAATATTGTCCAGAGGTGGCGTTGAACCACGGATCTCTAGCTTCAGCAGCAAGTGCGCTAACCACTGCGCTACGGCTGCTGAGCCAATTATTTCGTTAAACTACGTGTATCAGCTGTTGTAGATGTATAATTATATTTAGGATTAAAAAAAGACAATAAAAAGACCACCAAAAAGTTAGATGCATTTCCCTGCATTTTATTTCCAGTAATCAGTTAATATATGTACTTTTTAGTTTCATTTACGGTAATATTTATTACGTAAAAAACTTTTTTATACTTCCAACCTCTATAGGATAATCAAGACCATATTTAAAGTATAGCAAAAATTCTAATAGCAAATGTAAACAAACAAATTATTTAATTTTAAACTATCTTTAAAGCTCTTAAAAATCTAGATCTCGGTTTTATAATATACTTGTTTAAATATTTGGCGATACCAAATCTATCAATCTGGAAGATCAGTAGTAAAATTTGATTATCTGATACAACTAAAAATACCTACTTCATCAACAAAGTAACAAAGATTTGGAAACCAATTAAATATAAAATTCGTTCAGTCGGATAGAGGGAGAAAAAAACAAATGTTAAAAGTCAAAACAATGACGTATGAGAAAAAGTAGTGAGAGATGTCCCAGCCAACATTGAGATACGGGTACCGTACGGGGCCCATACGGGTCGTCAACTGGGTCCCGTATGGGAAGCCCAACGGTATCCCGCCGGATCATGGCCGCGGTTTCTATATGGGACCCATATGGGTGAGCCCGCCGGGTATCCCGTATGGGTCCCAGTCAAATCCCGTACTTTAAAACCGTAAGGGACCCATATGGGTTTTCAAATGGGACCCATATGGGAAACCCATCGGGAACCCACCGGATCTTGGCCGCGGTTTTCTTCTGGGGCCCATATGGGTATGCCCGCCGGGTATCCCGTGAGAATCCCACGAGTTCTACCCATTGCAAATCTTGCAAAGCTACGTTTAAATGTTTAAAATTTACAGAAAAAGCAAATTTATATATAAATTGATTGGTTTATTTCAAAAAAAAAGTAATTAAAATTACACTGTCGAAATTAAGCAAACTTTTAAACGATTCTTTAATGTATCGAATGCTTTCACGGTTATCTCAGGAATTGGAAGCTTTTCCATTGTTGTTAAAACGACTTCTTTGAAAACCTTTTTACACAATATCTTGTTTCAATATGAACTGTAAAAAAATCAAATTTAACTTTAAGTTTTTAATTTTTATAGGTAACACATACATTATTTTTAATATGTTATAAAACTCTTACGATTTCTCTTAACACCCTTTAGATAAAAGATGTAATTTTCACCATCGAAGGTAGAAACAGATAACCTTTAATTTTATAATCGACGTTTATTTCAACTTTTTAAAATGTACTTGTAATAGATAAGCACATGCTTATGATTCGTATAATAAATTGATAATATTTCTTTAGTGACTGATAAATAAATTATATAAAATTAACAAATAAATATATTTTTTTATTTATATTGTATATAATTTAATATACATTGTATATATCTTATATACAGTGCCGTGACTACTACATACAAGCCCCCCTCCCATTCAAAAAAAAAACCTGTCATAAGGGCTCCAAAATTCTTAAAAACTTATCCGACAGATAAAAAAAAAAAATCTAAATAAAAATACTAAATAAAAAAAAAATCCTTACATTTGTAAACGAGCGCCCTAGAATAAGCTCTGCTTATATATATATATATATATATATATATATATATATATATATATATATATATATATATATATATATATATATATATATATATATATATACATATATATATATATATATATATATATATATATATATATATATATATATATATATATATATATATACATATATATATATATATATATATATATATATATATACTCTTGCATGGTAGTTAAAAAGAGTTTCTTATAAACTGTAGTTTTAAAGAGCGCGTTAATAAACCAGACCAGAAAAAGTTTAAAAACTTAAATTTTTTTTTTTTTTTTTTAAATGATAGACTGCCTGCCCAAACCAAACCCTCAGTCGATGTAGCAGCACTCCCTTGCGAGTCAGGCTATTTGTCAGTCGTTGTAGCAGCACTCCCATGCGAGTCAGGCTATTTGTCAGTCGATGTAGCAGCACTCCCTTGCGAGTCAGGCTATTTGTCAGTTGATGTAGCAGCACTCCGTTGCGAGTCAAGCTATTTGTCAGTCGATGTAGCAGCACTCCGTTGCGAGTCAGGCTATAAGATAGTCGATGTAGCAACATTTACGCATGTTTTAAAAATGTTTTTTAATAAAACAAAAACACTACAAATTAAAAAAAACTTTCTAGTCGTTATTATTGCGGTTTTTTAAAAATTTTTTAAAAAACAATAAAATTTAATGTACTTCCGCATTAATTTAATTGCTTTGACATTTCGACGACAATCAAATACAGCTTAAGAGACGAGGTAATTAAAATTGTAGTTGTAAGAGACTTTTTTTACATTAAACAACTCTTTTGACTACACTATAAGGATATATATATATATATATATATATATATATATATATATATATATATATATATATATATATATATATATATATATATATATATAAAGAGAGAGAGAGAGAAAGAGAGACACTCACATACTCTCTCTCACACACAAACACACACACACATACGCATATATATATATATATATATATATATATATATATATATATATATATATATATATATATTATATATATATATGTTATATATATATATTATATATATATATATATATATATATATTATATATATATATATATATATATATATATATATATATATATATATATATATGTATATATATATATATATATATATATATATATATATATATATATATATATATATATATATATATATATATATATATATATATATATATATATATATATGCGTGTGTGTGTTTGTGTGTGAGAGAAAATATGTTTGTGTCTCTCTCTTTCTCTCTCTCTCTCTCTATCTTTGTATCGATGTATGTACTGAAGCCCCCGGCAGTATAAAACGACTAAAAAGTTGCAAATTTCTTAAACATAACCTTTTTGTCATAAGATTTGTCTGCTTTTTAAAACCTTTTTACCTTAACCATATTTTTTTATAATTTCAAAACAATTATCACTTTTATTAGCTGAAACAAAACACTCTTAATCTTGATAAATTTTAAACTGTAAACAGTGCCTCAATGCACTGATTACTGATCACTGATTACCATCAAAATAAGGAATACTAAACTTCTATTTATCTTCTTGTACGTGTTTATTTGAGCAACTCTTTGGTCTTTGAACAAGCTTTTTTAATTAACTTAAAAAAGTTTTGGATTTGAAAGAAGGACATCTATCAAGTACTTAAAATTTAACTGTATTATTTTCTATATGTGCTAATAAATGGACATTGTACACAAGTTGATCCTTACGATAAAGTTCATATATAAAACTGCACAAAATAAGTAGCTGAAAAGCAAAATTAACATATTTTTTCAACAAAATAAAACATGAAATTATAAGTACAACTGAAAAATCTAAAAAGTTTTAATAGATTTTTGGCTAAACCATTCCCTTTAAATAACTGGTCCAGTGTATACTATAAAAAGTCTAAGTTAAGTTGCTTTCCATTTTTTAATAACTAATTAAGACATTAATTTTCTAGAAAAATTTCTTAGAATGTAATGATGAATCTGGAACAATCCGCCAGATAAAATATTGACTGTAATCTAAGACAATTTACAACATTTGGGCAATTTAACCATAAGTTGACAAATCTTCGCATTATCCCTAGCGTACTAGATGCATAAAGACTAAAGGAAACTTTGTCACCTTGCCAAAATTTAATTCAATTTAACACACCACTAAGGTGTTCAGAATGCTTTTAATGACAAGAAATATGAATCAGTGCTTAAAATTAGTGAAATATGTAGAAGAATTATCTTACCACACCACTCTCCTTTCAAAACACAACATTCACATCAGTTATAACCATTGTGTCCTTTAATACACTTTACAAATGCTCTAGCTGGTCCATCACATATGATAACAGCAAGATTGATTTTAATTTCAATATTTTCATAGATAAAACCATCTTTTGCAAGAACTTTAAAATCTACCAAAAAATTATGAAGACAATTAAGGTGACCAACTATTCTCATTTAATGAGTTTTTTACTCTTTTTTCACAAACTTTTTTCAAATCCTGTACTCTGAAAGTACTCATTTGTATAAATTTGTACTCATTTGTATTTCTAAAACATTTTTTTTAATATTATTTAATTTCAATTTTAATAATTAAATATTAAAAATTATTTTGATAGTGATTTGAATTTCACATGTGCATATTGTTTGCCATTTCCGGCATGTCAGAGGACAGGGCAAACACCAGACACAAGTTTGACAGTGATTTAAATTTTGCACACACATATGGCTGCTATTTTCAGCACAATTGAGAGGCCGTATTATGTACCTGGAGAGATAGATAGATACTCCAGACCTTTTTTTCTAACAATGTCAAAATTACATTTGTGAAAAGAGATGGTTCTAACATTTATGTATGTAATCTCCAAGCTGATCTTTGATGTGCAGTATGTACGGCTTGCTCGACAGTATTGACGCATGAGTAGTATGTACAGCAAAGTTTTTTATCCATCTATTTAATTAAATAAAAGGATAAAAAAACCTTACTGTACATACTACACATGCGCTTATTGTTAATTAACCATAAAATCAAAAATTACAAACTTAATTATAATTTACAAATTTATGTTCGGTGTCACTCATATTAAAAACTATTCAATGGAGCAACACCTTAATAAAATAAACAAATAAAATAAAAAAATAATAAAGAAAGTAAACTACATTAATACAAGTAATAAAAAAAGAAGTATAAGGAACAATAATATTTAAAAAGTTGGAATTAGCACAAAAATATAAAGGAGTAACACTAAGAAAAAAAAAAAAAAAAAGAGAATAAACGGATGAGATAAGATGAGTGAGAAATTATGTAAGAGAAAAAAAAACTTTATCACATAAGTTCAGATAGAGTGACAGAGAACAATTTTTGCAGAAAAATATAAAAAAACAAATTAAAGGTAAATTTAAATAAAAAAATATATACATACACTACTATATACAATATTAAAGGCTATATTAAAACCTATAAACTGACCCCTTTGGAAGATTCCAATCCCGGAATAAAAAATGAATTTTTAAAAGAAGTTAAAATTTGCTATGAATATATCGAAGAATGGATAATGAACTTTAGAGCATTGAATTGTTTCTAATGGACCCTTATAAATAGTAAAATTTAATGGAAAAAAGTTCCTTCAGCAGTCGAATTTCTAATAAAGGAAGTATAAGATATTGTTATTAATGACAATTTTCTCTTTGAAGAAATTTGAAGAATAAATTTATATTTAAATAAAGAAAAATTGAAGAAATGGAACAATGAGAAAATAGAACTTGAAAAAAGATGGGTAGATATCTTTCGGCATTTTAGAGTAGAACATATCCCAAATGAAAACTTAAAAGTTTTAATATAAATTTCTTTGTTGTCCGGACACTAATGCTGCTGTTGAAAGAGTATTTTCACAAAGGAATGATTATTGGAGCAGTGAGAAGTTGCAACTTTCTGTAAAAACATTATATGCTGTCTTAACAGTCAAATTTAATAAGCAATTTAATATGTTCAGATGTGGCAACATTATTAGAGGAACATCCTCATTTAGCATAAAAAATCCACTGAAGAAAAATATATTTTTTAAAGAAGATAAAGTTTTTTATTTTTTTTTCTTCTTTTTTTTTTTACCAATGAAATACTTGATAAGTGTACTCTTTTTGAACAAAAGATAGTTGGTCCCCTTAAGAAAATTAAAAATGGAATTAGATTTTTGGGCACCACTTTTTAAACAAATCTCTGAAAACCCAATTTGGGCCCCCTAATATTGTGAATCCTAGGCCTAGGCTCTGATGGCAACATTTACAAAAAGCAACAACTTTTGGCAAATTTTATTAAAAATTTTTAAAATGTATGTTTAAATTTTATCACTATTTTAGATTTTCATTGAATAAATTCCTATATAAAAATATATTTTGCATAAAATATTTATGTAATATTATTCTCTTTTCCTTTCAGCTATCAAGGTAATTATACTGACTTGATCAGATTCAGCATTAATCTGAAGCTAATGAATTTATAGCTGAAGCTGAAATAACAGCTGCAACCTCTACTTTATAGACAACATAGTTAATGTGATGTATATAAATTATAATAATAAATGTTGTTTTTTTTATACTCTAATAGTTATTTTTTTACTTATGATTTTTTTTAAACACATGTTTTTTTATAATATTTAATACTTAGGAAATACTGACTTTTGCCGAATATTCTTTAGATAAAAATAATATTTTCTTACATTACTCTAATTGAGGTAATTAACAACGGTAATATTTACTCAAATCATTATATTTGTCCCCAGAAGTTAATATAGTTCTATAATACATAAGTCTCTTACTAATTCTAATAATAAAAAGTTATTACCATTATTATTATAATTATATTTACTAACCTGTTATTACTAATATTTATCAAAAATACATTCTGGTTGTTGAAGTCACTTTTACTCATATCAGTATGCAAATATTGTCAACAGGTCAGAGTGCACCATGCAGAAATATTCTTTAACATGCTGCAAAATACAAGATATACATAAGATACATATCAAAAAGACCTATTACCTGGAACTTAACATTTTATCTTGTTTAACTTACAATAACTCGATTATAATAAATAAGCATATGGTTATAATCTATATAATAACTATTATCTTTTTAGTTATTGTTATTCATGTTAAAGTTATTAAGTTAAATTAAAGTTTTATAACTAACGTTTGAATGCAAAAGTTCATATCAATAAAAATTTTTATCAGTATTATAAATATAAGTATTATATTACAAGTATTTACAAGTATAGGTATTGTAAGTGTAAGTTATTATGTATATTATGAAATTATTGTTAATATTGCAAGTGTACAATTTTAAATCAAAGTCAAAAAATATCAATGATTAAAAAATGAGGTTAATGCATAACAATAAAGCCATTTTTTTGCATTTAAACATCTAATTATATCTTTATTTATATATGACTATTATATCTGACGGTGGGTAAACTTTGTTAAAATCAGTCATTTTGCTTGCATAAAATATAGATATAAAAATCAATGGAAAAGAGTGGATCTGTAAAAACGATTTAAAATCTTTTAATTCCCTAAATAAAACTTATCAATTACATTCCATTTGCCTGTATGCTCTTTTTAAATGTTTCTGACTAAACCAATATTTTGAACAAAATATTGGTTTAAACAAAACTTTATATTTTGATCATTTTAAAAATGAAAACAGTGTCTCAATGGAATATTTACTATATGTTTAATAGTTTCTGGAACATATGTTCAACAAATATGTTAAACTTTGTAAATTTATTTATAAAAAAAAATACAAAAAAATTCCTTTATTATGGTAATAAATAAATGAAATTTTAAAACAACGTCTTTTTAATGGAGTTTCACAGTGACAAAACACATCAAAAAAAAATTTCTTTTTAATTATAATGTAAATATAATGTATAGAAAAAATATAATGCATAAAAGTTAAATTTTTAATCTTATTTCACGCACAATACGAATTATAAATGGCACCCATCGAGTAAGTTTTGTTATGATTTTTTTAATTATCAGTTTAAACCTTTTGGGAACCTTATGGGAAACCCGTCAAATCCCCAGATTCTTCGGCCCTGATAAAAACCAGATAAAACCCAAATGAGCAAATATGCTAAATTTTTTTACCATATGGGACCCGTCTGGAAACCAAAACACTTACCCGTCAAAATCCCGTTCCCGTAAGCCCAGACAAAAACCGTACGGTACCCGTCTGGCAATGTTGGCTGGGGTAGAAAAATATATTCAAAAATTTGATGGAAGAAAGATTTTACGCAAATAATTGTAGATCATATACACTATTAGTTTTATGCACTGTGTTTTTTTGCCAGTAATATAGTAGTGGGTGATAATATAGTATAGAAGTGGGTGATAATATAGTAGATAATCATTTTTGGTTTCTCATTATCAACAAAATTATCAACAAAAAAGTTGCTCGAAGAAAACTTAAGACAGACTCTAAACTATTATATTAAAAGAGTATTAACAGAAAAGCAAGAGTTTGAATTATTGGAACATATTTTGATTTACTCAAGATGATTTTATGACTTTCAGATAAATTTCCAAAAAATTGTCGGTGTATGGGTTTTGAAATGGCGGTATAGACCTTTTACGGACATTGGGTAGATTTTAAGAAGACAATTATTTATAATAATAATGTTTCACAAAAGTAGTACATAGTCTCAAGGGCAAGAATTTAATAGAAAATCTATAAAAACACCCCCATATTCTTAATTTTAAAAACAGCACCCATATTTTTCCCAAAGAACATCTGAAGATCGTTATTTTTGAGAGTCACATCATTGTTGTGCTCTTAATATAAATATGTTAGTCTTCAATTAAGAATACATTTTTATTAATATAATTCTTTTTTGCAATACTCTTTTTTGTGAAGCTCTTTGAAAGAACGGCGCTAATCGTGTTAGCAAAGTTACGATGCTGAAAGCAGAGCTCTCGTCACAGCCTTTGTTATAATCAGTGCTACTGGAAAATATCTTCCAGTATTTTTCTGTAAAAAGTATATATTGTCAGGAGCACCTTTTTAATCATTCATACTCGCTTGTAAAACAGGCTAGATAAACGGTAAACTCTTTTTGGATGTTATGAGTTATTTTATAATATTTCTTTCTGGCACCATGGTGTCCAAAAAAAAAACAGTTTTTTTTTTTGCTTATGATTTTTGCTTATGAAGTTGTTGTTTAGAAACTTGTTTGTTCTGTTTAAAAACAGATTTTGCTTGCTTTACAGATGTACTTTTATGATGAAAAATAATTTTATAAAAAAAATAATCTCTTTTTAAAATTTTATTTTATTCACAAGATTTATCAAATGGAAAACTCACCACTATCTTTATTAACAAAAATCTAAACATACTGCTATCTCTATTACCTTTTAATTCAGTTAATTTAGTTAAAAAATAATTATTGTTATGTCATCATCAAATTTTTTGTATCAATCCTAAACCCAATTCAGAGGCCTAAAGCGGAAAAATAAAATTGTAAGAGAAAGGAAAGGAAGAAAGGTCAATTAATACCTGCCACTATACTAGAAAGTTAGTAAAACTTACCAAAAAAATACAATCAAGTTTAATTCTTCATTCTCCTAAAAGATTATATGTATATTACTATATATTAGTTAAACTTTTATTAGTTTAAACACCTGTTAAAACAGAAGTTACAACTATTTTTATTTTTGAAAAAAGCTGACCAACCCCGAACTACCCCAACCAACATTTTTCAAAAGTAGTAAAAGGCAGCATTGTCAAAAAAAAATTTTGTGTCAAGTTAAATAACTGTTTGTTAACTATTAATTCTATTGCTATTATGATACTGTTTAAAACTTTTTTTCAATTATATTTTTTGAATGCAGTTGTTTGTAAAGCATCTAAACTCGATAACCGGTTAATTTTTCGCTATTCGATTTTGTTTATAATAAAATTTTAATAGGTTTGTGTGGTGCTAAAAAAATTTGGAATGATTGGATATTGATATATAACGTAATTTCATAGTTACATAAATTAGGACAGTTAAAGTCTAATAGTCTAAAAAACTTGAACTCCCCCTTCTTTACTAAATAACTTTGATCAACCAAATCTACCCTCCCTCACCTTGATTCTTTTCTAAATGATCTGGATGCACCAAATTGAAAAAATTTAAAAATTGCCAACCTTACTAGATGGTTTGGATCCGCCCTTGGTTGTTTGTGTCATCTTTACACTTTCGAATCTAATTAAAATAATTTTTGAATGTTTTTATTAGCGTTGTTATGACTATTAAATTATTTGACTGTCGACTAAATCGACTAATAAATTTTTAAAATTGACTAAAAGTCGTTTTAGCTAAAATATGGGAATAATTTATTTTTTTGAAATAAGTTGTAATAAAAATAATAAAGTATTCGTTTTCTATTTTTTTAAACCTTATATCATTAAATTATGAATGGAGCAAACAATTTGAGAAAAGGGCCGCTCCGACAACGGGACAGTTTATTCCTGTCCCGTTGTCGGAGCGGCCCTTTATATTACTATCTTAAATACTTGCTATATATCAAATATATATTACAATCATATTTACAATGTGATTGTATAGATGAAATTTAGAGTAGGAAGCTTCACAACTTAATTTTGCCCCAGGGTGTCGAGCATGCTTGGAACAGCCTTGTTTGAAAGTATTTATGAAAAATGAAAATCATAAAGTTTAAAAAAGAAAAAAAAAGAAATACATAACCGAAATTTAGTTAGGTTGAGAAAGTTCGTGTACCTTGGGCCTTTTTGTACCTAGGGTCACCCTACTTTATTTGATAACTATAAAGTTCTATATAATGCTTCTCAGTGACGCGATTATTTATAAAAATATTTATTTTTTAATCCTATTTTGATTCTCAGAGAGCGTTGCTACGACAAGTTATAGTCGGAAAACGCTTCTTGGTGGCCTAAAGTAAGTTTTTGCCGCTGATATCTTAGATTGTTTTACAATCCTAGAGAAAATGCTTTACTATAAGTTCTTGTATATTATATTGTTTGTAACTAAAGTACTAAATGCAGTGTTCAATAAGTTTCCTCTCAATCGAGTTTCGTTAATAGATTACATTTTTCATAAAGTTATCATTTCTTATACCAAGTGCCATATAGTTTGCTTGTACCTAGGGTCATATGTGCGTAATAATGATAATTATAAACTAGATGTCTTTTGGATTTTATTGGGCGAAAAATGAAGCCGCTTTTTTTGTTTATAAATATAATCCACCATTTGTAAAAAGGGCAGAAGCTGAAGCCGATGTGTTGAATTCAAAAGTTTCCAATAAATCAAAGATAATTCAAAAACACGTTTTAATAATTATAAAATACTTATAAAAGTTTTTTTATAAACCTATGTTTATTAAAAAGTATTATAATTCAATAAAATGCTTCAATGGCGTCTGTTGTTTCACTTTTCTATTCAAAACCTTAATCTCTTTCTAATCGAAAATAAATTTAGGAATCATAAATTATTATTCTACAAGTATTCCAATTTCCTCTTAACATTTTTACATAAATAGTATTTATATTTAAAATGTATTTACTTCATTTAAGAAAAGATAAGTTAAATAATATTTGTTTACAAACTTAATCTGTCATTTGTAAAAAGGGCAAAATCTAGTTTATATTATTATCTAGTTTATATATTATATATCGTTGGTGCGTAAAAAATTCGCTCAATAATAGGGTAGGTTGTTGAATTTTAATTGGTGCATAATTTATTTTTTCTCGCGGTTATTTTGGCACTACCATTTTACGCGTAGACTTATTTGTCATTTTTCCTCTGAACTATTAGTCAATACAGTGATCTGTTTAAATGCAGCAATTAAGTACAGAAATTAAGTTACACTAGATAAGTTTGTTGAAAACAATCTAAGATTAAATAAATTTATCAA